TTAAGTTTTTAATTATTTTATGAGAAAAATATTAAATTCCTGCCCTTTTAAATTGATTTAAATGTGGTGAAAAATAATATTTTTGGGTCAACCAACGACAAATTGGATGAAATCTATCTACTGGGGCCTCAGCTGTTATGATTTGAAAGGTTTGAGGTGAGGGCTACAACGATTGAAAGGTTATGAGAAAATCTGTCACTGTTTGAAAGGTTTGGGGCCTCAGCTGCAATTATCCCAGATAACTATGTAAGAGAAAGTCGAAGTGAAGCAACTAAATCGGGCTTAGAATAGTTTTGATCGGAAGTTACCATACTTTTCTTTCCAAGCTAAAGTTGTAAGGGATTCAAGCTTGCAAAATGCCTTTCATTCTTGAGTAAGGCTTTGGACACAGGTGCGAGCACCCCTAGTTACTAAGTAGTGCTATTAGAGGGATTGGACTCCACCAAGAGGTTCTTTCTCTCACATAATTTCGCCACCCCTTTCATCTTTGTGCCGAAGGAAATGGGATTTGAAACCCCTCGTATAAATGGTAATAAATAGAAATAAATATTTGATTAGTGAGATGAACTTGTGAATCCACAAAATGTGTGAAAAAAAAAAAAATCCTTGCATGTCTTCATAAAATGGGAAAGTCAAGGTTTGAAATGGTTCGTGGATTCACAAGACTAAGTATAGATTGTCGAGACTTCAGTGTATATGTCGTGGACGACTCGACTTGGATCTAGAACCATAGTTGTTCCACTAAGTTCCAAAGTTGTGGTTATTTGAAGTCTTATCGATAAGTTGCAATTTTTAGGAATTCCCAATATTCTAAATTTCGACGTGTTCCACGTTCATAACTAAAGATTGATACTAAAAATACGACAAAATCGATTAACAAAATTGCAGTGGGCACTAAATATGTGATGTACACATAGTTTTACACCCCCCCTCATATGGAAGGGGGTTCACAAATATTTTATTGTGTGTGGATCCCTTCCATGTGAGGAGAGTGTAAAAGATTATGTACACATAGCATTATCCAATATAATAACATGGGCACTAAAGATAATACCAGTGAACCTTATAAACTAGTTTATGCATGTTCAAAGGCCAAACGTAGATGTATCCAAATAAAGGCTGGAATTATGGGCTGTCATGCCTATTTTTCTTTGATTTTCTTTAACATAATGGTCACATGACAACTAGGAGCTATTTGCCTAGCAGCCTAGGCTAGCTGGCCCATGTGTGTGTGTGAGACAGAGACTTGGTTTCTTTTTCATTGATTGGGCAAAAGTCTGCCCCAGAGAAGCTGGAGCACGGCAAAATAGGGTGCTCGCTTTTGTTTATTATGTAAATCTGGTAACCATAAGTGTCAACCAGAATTAATTAACATATACCTAGCATGGATTAGGTGGTAAATGGGTCGAGTAGTTCGTTAGCTTGCGAACTCAATCGGTCACATCTTGGTTTGGTCAATGGGTTGCTCTAGCTCGTATTTAGATTATCGATCGAG